TTTTTTTTTCAAGTTAAACCAAACTTTTATTTTGGTGAGCTGTGGTGAAGAGGTTTAGCATTTTTGTGTTGTAGTAAATTATTATTTATTACTACTACTACTACTATTATTATTATTATTTCTCTTTTGAGAAGTAAGCTTTAATAAACAATAGTAATATATTTCTGTCATCATTTCTTCAAGTTAAACTGAACTTTTAATTAATTACTACTATTATTATTATTATTATTATTTCTATTTTGAGTACGCTTTAATATACAATAGTAATATGTTTCTGTCATAATTTCTTCAAGTTAAACTGAACTTTTAATTGGACAGGTTGTCATGTAGATCTCTGAGTCTGCCAGCCCATTTTTGACCAGTTCCATGACAAGTTTGAAGGATTCTGCGATTTGCGCACGTTTGTAAAAAAATAAGGCATGAATATAGATGAAGCGCTGAGTGTGTGTTTCTGTCTGAACAGGATTATTTTGAGTTTCCTCCGGGGTCTGAGGTGTCCGAGGAGGCGAGGTCACTCATCAGCGCTCTGATCTGCGACAGGAGCGTGAGGTTGGGCTCACGGGGCTCCGTGGACTTCAGAAAACACCCGTTCTTCACGGGTTTGGACTGGAGTTCCCTTCATCTCCTCCCTCCTCCGTACCGTCCTGACGTCTCCGACGCCACAGACACCTCCAACTTCGACGTGCTAGACGACTGTCTGAGCAACACGGTACCCGAGCCATCAGATCCATCACAGAGATGTGAATCTCAGCGGGATCTGACTCTTCTGCTCTTGTGTTCAGGAAAGCCTGAGTGGCGTGATGGAGCGAGCGCCGGTTGGGCTTCATCTGGCGTTTGTAGGCTACTCTTACACAGCCACCAGGTTAGTGACTCTTCATCAGCAGCTTTATTGTTGAGCGCAGCTTTAATGGTGTGTTCAGACCAAATGCGAAGCGAATATGCGCATCGCGTCACTCGCTCTATATTACTCACAAGATGTTATTTTAGATGTTAACTAACTAACTAACTACCTGTTGTGGAAGTCCCATATATCATGGAAAGCCAAATGCTGATGTGTCTGGTTTCAGAGGTGGACGAGTATTGATTAGTGCTGTCAAACGATTAATCGCATCCAAAATAAAGTTTTTGTTTGCATAACATATGTGTGTGTTCTGTGCATATTTATTATGCATACATAAATACACACACATACAGTATATAATTTGAAAATAATTACATGTATTTACATGTCTATATTTATATAATTTATATTATAAATAAATATATTTAATATATAAACATAACCTATTCTTCTGAAATGTATACATGCATGTGTGTGTATTTATATATACAAAATAAATATACACAGCACACACACATATATTATGTAAACAAAAACTTTTATTTTGGATGCGATTAATCGCGATTAATCGTTTGACAGCACTAGTATTGATCCTGCATTAATGTGTGTTACATTTTACTGCTGTATATACACTAGCTATGTTTCCATCCACCTATTTATATGCACATTTTGGAATATCGCATAAAAAAACACTGGATGGAAACGCCAAGCTGCGCATAAGTTCTAAAAATTAGCATAAAAAAGTAATGTGACTTTGCGCTATGAGACGGGATAACTTGACTATAGCAGCGGACCGATCTCGTTCACAGCATCTATATGTTTTTATGGTCGTTCTGAAATGCCTGAGCAAAGTCTGCCGTCAAAGTATTTCTGTATAATTGTCTTACACGACTGCGTTCCCAAACAGCAAAGCAACGACCGCATTTATTGTGTTACGTCTGCTCTCTGAGGTGCAAGTAATTTATTAAATATGAAACTTATTATATTCAGTGGCTTCTCCTAGTTTTCTTAGTGATATTTAGTGCCAGTTTATCAGGAAGTGACGATTTTGTTCTCTTTGACTCGTTGGATAGAAACGGTGCTTTATTCGCAAATGCTTTATGTGGTATTCCAGTTTTGCGCATAAGTGAAATTCGCATCTTTGGATGGAAACATAGCTACTGACATTTTTTTTATTGATAGCAGCATCTCTGTAGCCATGCTAATAAAATACAACTACCACTACAACTGTTTTTTTTTAATGCTCCAGACCTATATCATAAATTTTGGGGTTCCCACAGACGGCTACAATAATGCTCTCTTCCATTTTCTGATTCAACTGGACATGTCAATTAGGCCTAGCTCGCGCGAGAATGCGTCATGCGAATTTTCTGCTCGAGGTGAAATTTCTGAACTTGCGCGCAAGACACGATTGAGGCAGAGGTTGCGTTATACTTTAAAGAGGTCATATGATATTGCTAAAAAGAATATTATTTTGTGTATTTGGTGTAATGAAATGTTTATGCGGTTTAAAGTTAAAAAAACACATTATTTTCCACATACTGTACATTATTGTTTCTCCTCTATGCCCCGCCTTTCTGAAATGCATAGATTTTTACAAAGCTCATCGGTCTGAAAAGCGAGGTGTGCTGTGATTGGCCAGCTATCCAGTGCGTTGTGATTGGCCGAATACCTCAAGCGTGTGACGGAAATGTTACGGCCCTCACCATACTGTGATGCCCTGTCCGGCCGGAGCGACGAGACAAAAACATTAAAACCCATTATAAACCAGGCATTTGTTGCATCCAGTGGGGACATAATTACTGATTATAATGACTTATACTGTCTTTTTATGCGTTGCGTTGCATCGCGCCGCGTAAACATAAAACCATGTCTGCATTTGTGATCGGAGAAATGACGAACACTGCCCAGACTACTCTACACTGCTCAAAACTCATGTTTTAACCATCAGTTGCAAATGATAAAAGAAAACGTACTTACGTGAGTCAGAACAGCCGGCATTTTAGTCTAACGTTACTCTCCCAGGATCAGGATACAGTCCTCCGTAAAATGTCCCGGCGATCCACAGCGAAGTTGTTGTATTTCCTCTGCAACCAGCACAGATCAGCTCCAGGCATGATGAAGCAGATATCGTCCTCTTTTGGAAGACCAAACAAAGTAGTTTCGCTTTCACAACAAAAAAAAATGAAATCGCATCATATGACCTCTTTAACATTGTCCGTCAGGGTCGTAAAAATTCCGTCATAATCTGTTAGGCCTATTACCCGTCATTTAAATTTTTTATATTTTAATTATAATACCACATTTAATTGCTTGTATTTTTGTTCACATTTTCATTTTTAATAATAAACCTACAGGACGAGTATATAGGCATATGCATTTATTTATATATGAAGAGAACAGATGAACAAAGACACTAAAAACAACTAAATATGCTAGGGCTTGGTAAAAAAATATATATATATTTTAATAGATTCTCATTTTTATGAACCAATATCGATTCTTAAATTCCAGTCGACTCTGTTTTCAGTTGATGAATGTCCAATAAATCACAATAGGCTAAGCTTTGTGCGTTGTTACTTTTGATATGAAACAAAGTCTCCGATTTCAAATTGATGTCCATTTTATTAGGAAATTCAAGCAATAAATACTGGGTGGAAATTACAATTATAAATTACAATAGATCACCCTCAGTGTAATCTGTCAAAGTGACGGACGGCCTTCAGATTTTCCCGTCACTGCTAAAAAAATTCTGTCAATGATGGAAAATTCTCGGTTAATGCGACCTCTGGATTTAGGCGAATATCGTGTGTTTCACGTCATTTGTGTCGCCCAGTGCGAATTCGCCTCTATTTGCATATTTGCATTGAGGTTGTATGTAATCTAGTCATGTGAATGATTAAATTCACGTTTGGTGTGAACACACACCATAAGATGTTCTCACTCTGCTGTGCCGTACAGAGAGACGGGAGCACTGGACCGCAGCAGAGACATCATGATGGAGATCAACCAGCAGCAGGATAGAGATCTGCTCCACCTGCAGGGAAAACTGGTACGGTGAACACTGATCGATCAAAACATCAACAAAATCATGACATTCAGTCATAAAAATGGAATTTAATGTAAATATGTATTACATCATAAAATCCAGAGAAATTCAAACAGACCACACAGAATTTCTGGAGAAAAAAAAAATACAAATTTCATAGGGCGCTGTTATTGTTAAAAATTTAAATTGATAAAGTTTTTTAAAATTAGACGTGCTTTCTGATTATTAAAATTAAATCAAGCCATTAAAATGGAATTCAAAACAGAGAATTTGGGAAAAAATACAACTAAATTTCTGAAAAACATTAAATGTAAGTAGGGCTTTATGAAATCTGTTTTATTTATTTATTTATTTTACCAAATTCACTTTTTTTCTGGATTCCGTTTTAATGGTTCTATAAAATTTGAGTGATCAAAAGTTTAACAAAAATTAAATTTTAGAGCCCTATAAAATACATTGTAATTTTCCCAAATTCAGTTTTTTCCCCCCCGTTTTAATTTTGCTGGATTAAATTTTTGATTTTGTTTGAACTTATTAATGGTTAAATAAAATTTAATAATCTAATAGCATGATTTATTAATTGAAGTCATGAAACTTATACAATTTAACATGGGTTTATTAAAAAATTAACCACAATAAGTGGTCTTCTTGATGTACATTTAGAAAGAGATTTTTTTCCATGATTTCATTTCTAAATCACACGAGGTCCCCAGATAATACTAATCCACATTTTTTTGTAATGAACCTTCCAGTGCATACAAATGAAATCAACAACAACAAGACACATTATAATAAAATGAAAGAATAAATTAACAAAAAAAGTATAAATTATCAAAAAAAGTATAAAGATAAACATTAAAAAAGAAATTTATAAAATAGACATTTTTACAGATTATCACATATTTAGAGTTTTGTTAATAATATTTTCACAAAACCAGTCATAAGGGTAATTTTTTTGAAATTGAGATTTATGCATCATTAGGATCGCACAATATTTGGCTGAGATGCAACTATTTGTAAATCTGGAATCTGAGGGTGCAAAAAAATCTAAATATTGAGAAAATCATCTTTAAAGTTGTTCAAATGAAGTTCTTAGCAATGCATATTACTAATCAAACATTAAGTTTTTTTATATTTTTGATTTTCTTATGAAATTTACAAATTTACAGAGGCGTCATCTATTCACATTAGTGATCTTCATCTAGCAGCAGTCTGAATCAGATGTCAGTGTGAGTGTGAATGTGCTGCAGAATCAGGTGTGGCGGCTCAGAGAATCCATCACCGCTGAGCTGATGTCACTTCCTGCTGAGCAGAACAAACCCCAGCCAATCAGCAGCAGCGCAGAGACGGAGCAAAGCGACGCACACACTTACGAGCTACAGAGGTACAACAACATACACTCAACTGTTACAGTCATATCTGATGATAAATGCTGAAAAGTGGAAATTTCTGGAAAGAAGTTTTTTTTTACAGTCTATGATATACAGTGTGTATATGTATATATATATATACAGTATATATATGTGTGTGTGTGTGTCTGTGTATGTGTGTGTCATGTGATTTTACTATTTTTCACTGTAAATTATATAGTAATTCATAGTTTTTACTACCAAAATGAATAATTTTGGATTAAACAGGTTCTTGACTGTATACAGAATGTTACATTTAACCATTTAACAGGTTTTTACTGTAGAATTTTAGATTTTTGTCTTTGTGACATTTGTTAGAGTGAACAGTGGATAACTGTGCAGTAGTATTGATGTACTGCTAGTAAATACAGTGCTGTTGATGTTCTCCAGGCGTGTGCACAAAGCCGAGCGCAGGAACAGAGAGCTCGAGCAGGAGATGGCCGGACTGAGAGAGGAGATCCTCAGACTGACCGCCGGCAGGGACCAAGGTCAGGAATGATCTGTGATCTGGAATTAGCATTACAGATATCACCCTGACTGTATGCAATATTATCTGTGCAGTGTGTTTGAAGCTCTGCCCTGAGAATAGTGATAAATATCTTGTCCGGGAATAGATAATGAGACACAACAGAACAACTGCAGGATCACATGACTAGACCTGTCACCAAGTTCATGCCTGACGATTGTCAAACAAATAATAACTGTGATTAACCGTTTAATTGTCTGTTTTGTTCATGTCACTTACAGTGGAAGCCTAATTTTTTATTTATATTTTGACATGGAGACATATAATTAAATAGGCATTTTTAATACTATGAATTAAATATTTAAACTTCTAAAAATCTTTTTAAATGAAATTAAATACATATATTTATTTAAGTTATTTATTAATAATTTATAGGAAATATTTTTAGTAGTGCTGTCAAATCGTGATTAATCGCATCCAAAATAAACATTTTTGTTTACATAATATATGTATGTGTGCTGTGTATATTTATTATGTACAGTATATATAAATACAAACACATGCGTGTATATATTTCAGAAAAAATTGGTTATATTTATATATTAAATATAGTATAAATTATATGAATATAAATATAGACATGTAAATACATATATATTTTGAAAATATGTATACTGTCTGTGTGTGTATTTATGTATACATAATAAATATACACAGAACACACATATATATTATGCAAAAATATTGTGATTAATTATTTGACAGCACTAATTTTGAGTAATGCTTGTTTCAGCAATGTTTTAGGCCCAATTATTAAACTTTATGATGATCACGTTTTGCAGCTCTTAGAGAGCTATATATATATTTATTAATATATTATATACAAGAGAAGCTGTCTACAACAAAATATGCAATTAACTTAATTTTGTAACTTTTATTCTTAACTTTTATATCACGTATATTTGTTCTTCGATTAGTGACAGGCCAACATAGTTCTATAAACAAGAACATTTCACAGAAAATATGCATTTTTATGTTCATATTTGGTTTGTGACCAATTATTAATCTTCAGTGAAAGTTTAGTAAAGTTTTGAAGCTCTGTGGGTCTTAAAAGGTTATAAAAAGTCTTAATTCACCCTTTCACAAATTAAAACATTAAAAGGCCTTAAATCATAGCAGTAAGTCTTAAATTAATCAAATCATCACATTAAATGTAGCATGAACTGCTAAATGAATCTCTTCCTCGGTATTTTTGTCTTGTTTTCCAGTACAAATATCTAAACTTCCTTAATTCAAGATACATTTACTGGAGGTGCAGCATAAAGATATGAGGTCTTATGAAACTGAACAAAATGAAGTGAATTTATGAAAACAAGAACAAATATCTGTCAGTGGTGAATGAAGATAAGTTTCCCTTTGAATTAAGATGATCTTTCTGTGCCTATTGGCAGATATTTCATAGAAAGGTCTTAGAAATCTTAAATTACCTTCATAAAACCTGCAGTGTGACCCAATGAAGACAGTGTTCTGCTCGTGATGAGACATAATGTCTCAGAAGGTTCCTGCACATCTTCTGTCTCTGGTTTGTTGGACTGAATGGTTCTTTGTAAACATGCCTTCACGCATGATGTTTCCTCACGCAGGCTCACAGCGGCATCACTGTGTGTGTGTGTGTGTGTGTGTGTGTGAGTGAGTGACTGAGTGCGTGAGAGAGAGAGTGTGTGTGTGTGTGTGTGTGTGTGTGTGTGTGTATGTGTGTGTTGGCAGTGGCAGAGGCTGATCTAATATGGGCTATCTAACACCTGTTTCTCCTCCAGTCACAGAGCTGTGTGTGTGTCGGCCGCTGCGCTGTCTGGACTCCGTGTGGGACGTAAGCCTATCTTAGCACCTTTAGCATTGCATCTGTCATGGCTGCGTGTCACCTTTATCTGTTCTTGTGTCGTGATCTGTGTGCATCATTCCTACACGTGTCAGTCGCATTGTCCACTGAAAGCTGATTGACAAACCTGATGTTTGTAGAGCTCAGCGACGCCCCCTGCCTGCCATTACCCACTCGTGACGCCGCTGCACCGCCACCTGCTGCTCTTCAACAGGGTGAGTGAGTGCTATGGGATGATATTAGGCTCAAAATGATTAATAGACGCACGCACAATTATCCATGTACTGCATACATTTTATACATGTATCTTACTAACCACAAACAAATGCCTTTCAATTTGAGTCTGTGGAATTCAGGATTAAATAAATGTGCAGCGATTTTTACAAATACTGACAAATACTAAAAATGTTTTGTTCTGCATTAATATATCATAAATTTCTCATGCAAAAAAGAATCCGTGCATATGTGGATCAGGTGACACGCGTGCATTAATTGACGTCTAGTTCGAGTCGATCTTGTTCGGTTCATTTGGATTTTGAGACTTAATTTTCGTTTACAGCATCATTTCACGTCCCCCCCACACACACTTTGTTAGACATATGACTTAGATTTTTATAGCAATTTTAGAGTGCAACATATTTTATAAAATATTTATTTTATATAAAATAAAATAAATAGTATTCTACATTATCTTTACTGTAAACTTAAACTTCTATAACTTTTTTATACTTTCTTTTTTTTTAAATGCATTCACTTCAGCAATAATCTGCAATGTGTCTTCTTTAAAAGAGAGCAACCTTAGGTCTGTCTTCCGACACGTTCAGGAATTACAACCGTGTTGTAACAAGCATTGATAAACAAGTGTTCTGTTTTCAGTTAATGTATCCCCCAAAGGGGCGACGTATCCTGGGGGATACAAACATTAAAATCAAAAATAAGAGTCAAGATTTTTTTTTAAAAATCATGAAATTGTATTATTTGAGTCCCAATAAGTATATAATACTTTTCTGATGCCTCTTTATGGTTTTGCCCTTTTTAGGGTCAATGTATCATGCTGCTCTTCTGTAGGCTAGTGTTGTAATCACTAACTAAAACTATTCAAAAACATTTTTGTTAAATGAAATAAAGCTCAAATAAAATATAAATATTCAAGGAAAACTAAATGGAAGTTAGAAATGTTGTCTTGGCAAGTTTTTTTTTTTTTAATAAAGTTCTAACATTACTAACTATAAACTACAACTGAATATAAAATTAAAATGAATTAAAACTATTTCAGAATATTTTTAAGAAACCAAAAACGAATAAAGTTCCTAATAAAAATACTATACAATACGATTAATCGCATCCATAATAAAAGTTTTTGTTTACACACACACATTCTCACTCACACACACTCTCTCTAGCCTTGCCCAATCCACACACACACAGCTTGTGATCCACGCGCAGCTGAGCCTCAGAAAATCAGCGACCACTAGATGACACTAGCCCCAGTCACATGTGCGCATTCCATTGTGTACGGTTTCATGAAGGTTACATTGTGTTTTCTTTGTTTCTTTTTGGTTTGGCTATTTTCCTCTACCATAGAAATATAATAAATATGCTTTATTGAACTTGTTCTAATTGAACTTGTCTTAAGACACAGAATAGCTTATATTAATTTTGCCAAACAAGAACTTTGTGACGGTACCTTGTTTTTTCTTTCTTTCTGTAATTCAGCGGCACGTTGTCAGTTGTTCATTCCTTGTATTATTATTATTATTATTATTATATGATTTTTGGTATAGTGCCCAAACAAAATCTCACAGGAACCACAATTTTTGTGATATCAACTTCAAATTCGGAGCATAACTTTGTTAGACATATGACTTAGATTTTTATAGCAATTTTAGAGTGCAACATATTTTATAAAATATTTATTTTATATAAAATAAAATAAATAGTATTCTACATTATCTTTACTGTAAACTTAAACTTCTATAACTACACACACATACAGCATATATTTAGAAAATATTTACATGTATATATTTATATTGATATAATTTATATCATATATAAATATAATTAATATATAAATGTAAAATTTTTCTTAAATATATGGATGCATGTGTTTGTATTTATATATACTGTACATAATAAATATACACAATACACACACACACATATTATGTAAACAAAAACTTTTATTTTGGATGCGATTAATCGCGATTAATCGCGATTAATCGCTTGACGGCACTAAAATATACAGATAGATAGATAGATAGATAGATAGATAGATAGACAGACAGACAGACAGATAGATAGATAGATAGATAGACAGACAGATAGATAGATAGATAGATAGATAGATAGATAGATAGATAGATAGATAGATAGATAGATAGATAGATAGATCGATAGATCGAAATCAAGCAGCCTACAACAGAAACAAGCTGACTCACAGATTCAGAGATGTGACAGAGTTCTCCTGTATTTAATCAGCAGTAGCTGTGTCCATCAGCGAGTCGTCTGGTAAGCATGCGTCTCCTGTGCGGTGTTTGATTGACAGGTGTGGATGCCGCAGGTGAGGAGTGAGTCGTATCTGCTGGTTTGTGCCGAGGGGACTGAGCTGCAGCTGTGGGAGCGACACTGCAGCGCTGATCTTTGCTGAAGAACACTAGATAGTCAACAGCAGACGCTTCAGTGAAGCTGTGTGGACTGTGATCTACTCTATTGTGCAGTAGTCTGATCTCTTCTTCTCTGTTCTTCAGTTCCAGTCTATAAAGCCTTTTCAGCATCGTGGCCACATGATTGAGTGAATGATTTGAATCACTCAAGTTTCCTGCTTTAATAAATTATCGCGGCCATGATTCTGATTCACTAGTCACGTTTACAACCGGTTCAGCTCCATATTCTGATTGCACTCATATTCTGAATATGATGTTTATATGCACAGATATGGTTGTTTTAGGTCTGCTGATCTACACGTGTTTTTTTTTTTTCTTGCTGTTTCTCAAAAGATTTCCCTAGAGAGTCCAGATGCTGCCATTGGTTATGCAGTATGTGCTCAGCTATTTAATTAGAATTTGATCTAATCAGTTTTCCTAATTAGTCATTTGATTAGAAACCCTTCAGAAATGGCCAAAAACTCTGACTGCAACTGGAAAGAACTCGGCAAATGTGAATAATAATAAGGATAGATAGAGAACTATTGATTACCATTGGAAATCAAGCAGCCTACAACAGAAACAAGCTGACTCACAGATTCAGAGATGTGACAGAGTTCTCCTGTATTTAATCAGCAGTAGCTGTGTCCATCAGCGAGTCGTCTGGTAAGCATGCGTCTCCTGTGCGGTGTTTGATTGACAGGTGTGGATGCCGCAGGTGAGGAGTGAGTCGTATCTGCTGGTTTGTGCCGAGGGGACTGAGCTGCAGCTGTGGGAGCGACACTGCAGCGCTGATCTTTGCTGAAGAACACTAGATAGTCAACAGCAGACGCTTCAGTGAAGCTGTGTGGACTGTGATCTACTCTATTGTGCAGTAGTCTGATCTCTTCTTCTCTGTTCTTCAGTTCCAGTCTATAAAGCCTTTTCAGCATCGTGGCCACATGATTGAGTGAATGATTTGAATCACTCAAGTTTCCTGCTTTAATAAATTATCGCGGCCATGATTCTGATTCACTAGTCACGTTTACAACCGGTTCAGCTCCATATTCTGATTGCACTCATATTCTGAATATGATGTTTATATGCACAGATATGGTTGTTTTAGGTCTGCTGATCTACACGTGTTTTTTTTTTTTCTTGCTGTTTCTCAAAAGATTTCCCTAGAGAGTCCAGATGCTGCCATTGGTTATGCAGTATGTGCTCAGCTATTTAATTAGAATTTGATCTAATCAGTTTTCCTAATTAGTCATTTGATTAGAAACCCTTCAGAAATGGCCAAAAACTCTGACTGCAACTGGAAAGAACTCGGCAAATGTGAATAATAATAAGTGTTAATATAAAAAAAATGTTTTAAATGAGTTTCCATTCCTTAACACCTACAGCTAATTATTATCACCCTCTGTTATCACCCATAATTCTCTGCGGTCTGAGCATGTGAATCTCCTTTCAGTGGATTTTCATTCAACAAGTTTCTCTTTAAAAACTCCTTATTCCAGGAGTGGGAATCTGAATTTGGAGAATTAAAATATGTGAGCCTGCAGCACAAAAGCAGTGTTGAGTCGCTGGGGGATATTTGTAGCAATAGCCAACAATACATTGTATGGGTCACAATTATACATTTCTCTTTTATGCCAAAAATCATTAGGATATTAAGTAAAGATCATGTTCCATGAAGATATTTTGTAAATGTCCTACCGTAAATATATCAAAACTTAATTTGTGATTAGTAATATGCATGGCTAAGAACTTCATTTGGACAACTTTAAAGATGATTTTCTCAATATTTAGATGTTTTTGCTCCCTCAGATTCCAGATCTTCTAATATTGTCCGATCCTAACAAACCATACATCAATGGAAAGCTTTCAGATGAAGAGGTGAAAATGTACCCTTATGACTGGTTTTGATTGGTCAGATTGTGGTGTTTAATATGTGCCTCCATACTAATCTGAATATTGCCAAATTCTGATTGATTAATATTGATGTGCATGGCTGTAAATGAAAAACCGCTTGCCTTACATGACTCAGAATCTGAACTGTCTGATCTGTCAGTGTCGTTGGTTTGTAGTTTGTTGGGTTCATTTTGCTGTCCCGCTTTTACCTGCTGTTTATGGGAATCTGCGATGAGAATCATGCAGTCTTTTTCACACGTGTTTGTGTTCAAACTATCATATACTACATCATTATTTGCCAGAGATATATTTTGTACAAAAAAATAAAGTTGCTTTAACATTAAAAACTATTTAAGTGTGAGTAACTTAGAAATAAAGTTGGCTTATTTATTTAACACAGAGTGAATTCAAATGATTTGTCTTGGGAAGATGTGTCCTTTGATGTGACTTTGCTCTGAGAGGAGTGTGGCTTTTGTACCCTTAAAAGAGTGGGTGTGGCTTATGTCCTCTAAAAAGAGTGGGTGTGGCTTGTATATGGTAGGCGTGGCTTCTGTCCGCTGTATGGAGTGCGTGTGGCTTCTGTCCTCTAAATAGAGTGGGTGTGGCTTCTCTTCTATGTATGGAGTGGGTGTTGTTTTTGTTCTCTGGAAGAGTGGGTGTGGCTTCTGTCATCTGCATGGAGTGGGTGTGGCCTTTGTCCTTCAAATTGTGTGGGTGTGGCTTCTGTCCTCTAAATAGAGTGGGTGTGGCTTCTCTTCTATGTATAGAGTGGGTGTGGCTTCTGTACTCTGAAATGAGTGGGTGTGGCTTCTGTCCTCCAAATTGTGTGGGTGTGGCTTCTGTCCGCTAAATAGAGTGGGTGTGGCTTCACGTCTATGTATGGAGTGGGTGTGGCTTCTGTCCTCCAAATTGTGTGGGTGTGGCTTCTGTCCTCTAAATAGAGTGGGTGTGGCTTCTCTTCTATGTATAGAGTGGGTGTGGCTTCTGTACTCTGAAATGAGTGGGTGTGGCTTCTGTCCTCTGTATGGAGTGGGTGTGGCTTCTGTCTCTTGTGATGATCAGCTGTCAGTTTCAGGTTGAGGTTCTGATGGTGAACACAGTGGCCCGTGTGATTTTGACTGGGACAGCTGCAGACACATCATCCAGAGTGAGTGTGTTTTTTCCTCTGCTGTTATATGATAACACGTGACATACAGGTTGATGTTGTGTTCAGTATCATCATCTGTCATTGTTCATCAGTGCATTACTCCCCCTAGTGGTGAATCCCAAGCCATGGATGCGTTTGACCGTTTGCTGGTCTGACTGTGTTAATATTTAATAAAGTTAATATTTCAATAATTTATCAACATGTTCACGGTTCTCTGATGTCAGTTGATATCCGCTAAATAGAGTGGGTGTGGCTTCACGTCTATGTATGGAGTGGGTGTGGATTTTGTCCTCTGGATAGAGTGGGTGTGGCTTTTGTCCTCCAAATTGTGTGGGTGTGGCTTCTGTCCGCTAAATAGAGTGGGTGGGGCTTCTCTTCTTTGTATGGAGTGGGTGTGGGTTTTGTCATCTGCATGGAGTGGGGGTGGTTTTTGTCATCTGCATGGAGTGGGGGTGGTTTTTGTCATCTGCATGGAGTGGGGGTGGTTTTTGTCATCTGCATGGAGTGGGTGTGGCTTCTGTCCGCTAAATAGAGTGGGTGTGGCTTCTCTTCTATGTATGGAGTGGGTGTGGTTTTTGTCATCTGCATGGAGTGGGTGTGGCTTTTGTCCTTCAAATTGTGTGGGTGTGGCTTCTGTCCTCTAAATAGAGTGGGTGTGGCTTCTCTTCTATGTATAGAGTGGGTGTGGCTTCTGTACTCTGAAATGAGTGGGTGTGGCTTCTGTCCTCTGTATGGAGTGGGTGTGGCTTCTGTCTCTTGTGATGATCAGCTGTCAGTTTCAGGTTGAGGTTCTAATACTGAACGCAGTGACCTGTGTGGTTTTGATTTGGACTGCTACAGAAACATCATCCTGAGTGAGTTTGTTTTGTTCCTCTGCTGTTTTATGAGAACACATGACATACAGACATGACATGTTGTGTTTCCTCTAGATAGAGTGGGTGTGGCTTCTCTTCTATGTATAGAGTGGGTGTGGCTTCTGTACTCTGAAATGAGTGGGTGTGGCTTCTGTCCTCTGTATGGAGTGGGTGTGGCTTCTGTCTCTTGTGATGATCAGCTGTCAGTTTCAGGTTGAGGTTCTAATGCTGAACGCAGTGACCTGTGTGGTTTTGATTTGGACTGCTACAGAAACATCATCCTGAGTGAGTTTGTTTTGTTCCTCTGCTGTTTTATGAGAACACATGACATACAGACATGACATGTTGTGTTCAGTATCCTCATCTGTCATTGTGTTCGATGCATTACTCCCCCTAATGGTGAATCCCAAGCCATGGATGTGTTTGACTGAGTGCTGTTCTGACTGCGGAGATTAAAGCCCTTTGTATCCTTTGTCAGCCTAAATAAAATCTTCAAGAAAATAAGTTAATATTTCAATAATTTATATACACATTCACATGTTCATTGTTCTCTGATATCAGTTAAATAGTCACACTGATAAGCAAAACATATTTAATCCTTTTTATAGAGTGTATTATTTTGAGTGATTTTATCTTAAAATTATGCATTATTGATGATTTTATTAATTATTAGCTTTTCATCAGCACGTGAAACCCAGTTTGGGAAAATATGCTTTAAAGAAATAATTAAATCTAAACACAGAATTCTGTCATCATATACCTTAATGAAATGTGATATTCTGTGGAATATTTTATATTAATTATTAATATAAATATTCATATTTAATTTTCATGTTCTCATTTATTAAAATGAAAAAATATATATATTTTAAAATTTTTACATGTATTTTCTGTAACAATCCTGTGTCTTTTGTGACTTGTACAGTATATTTCTGTATTCTAATACTGAATCTATTTATAATGGCTCTTCTTTTGAGGCCATAAATGGCCTTGAAAGTGTCTTAAAATGTTTTACATTGTTTGTTGTATGTTTTACATATAGCTACTCACATCAAATAATTGTATATAAAAATTTGTAATATGATACACTGATTTATTTTGATTTTTAATCATGGAAAACAGTTGAACAGAATACAGTGAACAGAATATTGCCTACTTTAGAAAAGTAGTATGTGAAATAACACGCATTATGCAAAGATATATATTCAGAACAGAAGATTGTTACATTGTTGTCATCTATGCTGCATGTTTTATTCCTCAACTACCAAAATAATGACGATAATGTTGCATGTTTAATGCAGTCCCATACTGGGATTCTGCTGGTCTTAGTTAAAGTCTTAATTCACCCTTCCACAAATAAAAGCATCAACAATTCTTAAATCAGAGAAGAAAGTCTTAACTGTATAAAGTCGTGGCACTAAATGTTGCATGCACTGCAAATAAAATGAATCTCTTCCTCAGTATTTTTGTTTGTTTTCCAGTATCTAAACATCCTTAAATCTAGACACATTTACTGGAGATGCAGAATGAAGATATGAACCCCTGTCATGTGAGTATACTGTGCATAGTATGCATGCAGTGTGCAAGTATGCACCAAGGCCATAACCATGTCTTGAACATTGG